GTGAAGGATCTGAGGGAAACACTCAAGAAAAAAGGAAGGTAGTTGAGAAAGCGCCGTGCAAATAACACAAGTGGTTTGGTTTTTAATTTATTTTTCCTACTTGTTTTCAACGCATCTGTGCCGTGAGTGGAATCCCGTTAGATTCTCTGGTGATTGCTCGTTTCAGAGAGCCACAGCCCCGCGGTGAGATGCAATAAGGTTTCATCCACAGCCCCTGCTCGGGTGACCCGCTGTGGTACCTGCGAGGGAGCAAAGAGCCGCCCAGGCCGTGTCTCAGGCCGGGTTTTACTTTCTTGAGCTCCGATGCCACAGATGGGCGTCAGCCTTGAGCGCTTTGCCCGGAGTCTCGATGACAGGCGGCGTGAACAGCTGCCTTCTGAGATGTGGGCAACAGCTCTACCAGCTCTGATGTGTCCTGCCTTGGCCTTGGGGAGTTTTCCCCAGGATTTGGCTTCAGACACACCAGCACGGATCCTGGCTTGCGAGACTGGCGAGTTTGCTCAGGCCTTGTCCCGCTAAACCCAATTTCTTCGTTAGGCTGCACTGTGGGAGGGGTGTCTTCAGGGATTCCTCCTTCATTATACCTTTAGAAACCATAACTGGGGTAGACCAGAGCCTGAAGGTGTTACTGCTGAATCCTGCTGTTAGATAACATCTCACTTTGCATAGCAAAGGATGTGTCAGCCAGCCTGCCTTCTCCCAGAGCAACAGAGCAGTGGTAGCAGAAGCAGAAGGAGTGGCTCTGGGTTTGCAGTGCACTGTGGACCATGCAGATGGTCAATGTTACCTCAGCTCTTTCAATCTCCTGTATCTGTACCCATACCCTGCACAGAACAGATTCAGAACTGTTCAAATGCTGCTGTTGTCGAGAGGCTGGTAAGAGATGGATGTTCTGCAGTGAGAGATGTGTGGTTTTGAAGAGCCACTGCATGATTTGAATTGTCCCTGCCTGAATTGTATTACTTTATAACCACTAACTCACTTCACTTGGTGCTTTGGCTGCCAACATCTGTGGTGGGTAAGAGGAGGGTATGCAAGGTCTCTGCGTTGGTCCCACCATGCAATTTCTGTGGCAGATGTTTAGCTAAGCTAGGCTCTGTTTCCACAACCATAAAGCATCTTCTAAATGCAGTGGTAGACAGAAATGTCCTTCATGTCCAGTCTGTGGTGTGCCCTGAGGCCAGCTTGGTCTCTTGCTTCTCTTTTGGTCTGGTGTCCTGGGTACACAGCTGGGCAGCTGGTGAGGTTGTAAGGTGGGAGGAAGGTTTTGTTGACTCTGTTTTGAACACAGAGCCTTCAGAGGAAAGAATTCCTCTGAATACTCCCACATGAAAGCAGAAAGGGGTCTGCCCACAGGCCACCGTGACCTGTGAAGGGATTTGAAAGAGGAATCAGTTCTGGAATCTCAGCCTTAGTGTGTCAGGATGAACAGATCCGACAGATTCACTTTTAGGTAAGAGGTTGGCTTTCTGCCCGGTCATCCTTTCTAAGGCATCTGGGGTGATAGAAATGTGTTTGACACAAACTCAGCTCCAGAGGCTTACAAACTGTTCAGTGGGTCCTAAAAAATGTAGGCTAGTCAAATCCTGTCTGTCTGCCTCCACATGTTGTCTGTGCTCTGTAGAGAACTAGTACGTGAGTGTCTGGGCTGGGACTAGGGCCTCCTGTACACGTATATAACAACAATATCAATCCTAATTCAGGACAATATTTTGTGTTTGCAGTACCCTGGTTGTGAGGAAGGGGAAACCAGAAGATGTGGTCCGTGACTTGATTATACAGTTGGGCTCTGTCTGTGCAGTGGCTTTCCATGAAGAGGTGAGGAAAATATCGTTAAAAGATAAAATCAGGTTGTGGAGGTTTCTTCCACGACCAAATGGTGATGGAGATCCTGTGCATTCAGAGTCTTTCTTGTCTGTGGTATGGTTAACCTTGGGGAAACTGGCTCCTGGGCTGGAGATGGTGCAGGTGTTGGGGTGGGAGTCCCTGCTGGATGACAGCAGCTATTTGTGATTGATCACCTGCAAGTGCTGTGTCTCAAGGAAGAGCAGTTTCTAGCAACTGGCATTTTTAGGTCAGCTGAGTCCATTTCTCCTTCTGTTTGCATCAAGTTGCTTTTTCCTGGTGTGTTCCTTGCACAGGGACCTAGCTGCCAGGGGGTGTATTCTGTCGAGTGTAGAAAAGGTCCTGGTGAGTTGACAGCACCCATGTTTTGGTAGTTGCCCACTAGTGTGTTGAAGATCAAAAGATGGGTCCAGCCTTGGACTTGTGCCAGTGTTGGCACCTCACTGACCTGTCTTCGCTGAGCTGAGTAGGTGGTTTGATCCAGAACCTGCTGAATCCAGTGGAGGGCTCTGGATCCAAACCACGTGCATACATCAGATGTACATAGCTGCACTCAGTGTTAGCACAGGGTGAACCTCAGAGCTGTCCGATGCAGGAATCACCCTGAGAGCTGCACTGCAGATGTTCCTGCTGTCAAGCCTAAGAACCTTGTAACTTGACAACCTGCACATCCCACAGTGCCTTGTTCCATGCAGCGCCAAGAACAGCCACAAAGGATCAGAAAAAAAGGCCTCATCAAACTCCATAATCTTTTTCTTGACAGTGACCAATAACAGATGCCCAGAGAAAACCACAGGAGCAGGACAAATCTGTAAAGATACTTCCCCTGAATACTTCACAGCCTTTAAGAATCTGTGGCTGAAGGCCTTTCCATCCTGGTGTTCTATAACCCTCAGTGGATTTCTTTTACATATATTTGTCCGGCCACTTTTCCAGTCGATACAGACTTAAAATATCCGCAACGTCCTACATCAAGGAGTTCCTTGTTCTGGCATGGACACTACTCACGGAGAGTGAAAACACTGGTTGGGTTTGGCAGAGGGAAATACTCAGAGATTGTCTGTGTGCACCTCTCTCTGTAGGGATGAAGCTAAATGTGGAGGTGAGGGAGGAGGGCAGGACCAGGGCCCAGGCCCTGTGCACGTGCAGGAGGAGCTGAGGCCGTGCAGCTGTGACCTCACCGTGTTTTGTTCTCTCCAGGCCACGCAGGAGGAGCTGGATGTGGAGAAGGGGCTGTGCCAGGTGTGCAGTCAGCACGGGGTGAAGGTTCACACGTTCTGGGCGTCCACGCTGTATCATCGGGACGACCTTCCCTTCAGGCCTATTGCCAGGTGGGCTCGTCCTCCACTGGCCCAGCTATTTCTCCTTCCAGTGAACTGCTCGGGAGGGGTCTTAGTCCTCCAGTTCCACTGGGAAGGGACCCGTTAGTCCGCCTACATTTACAGAACAGGGCGGTCCTGCTCATACACATCAGGAGGAAGGGGCACATTCATCCCTCTGTGCTGGTAGGATTTACTCTTCAATATGCCTAAAGCTGAGAGGTTTGGTTTATTGAGGGGCTGATTTCTCTTTGCCCTTCCACCATCACAGTTTGGATGCTCACTCTGCAGTACCCAGAACCCTTGTGACACTGGGCTGGGTTGCTCTGTTACCCCAGAGGACAAATTAGCTGCCTGTGACAGTAGTCCTTTGTGTGTGGGCTCATCAGGGCTCCCTCAACTGTCACTTGAGGTGCAGTTGTTGGGAGTCGTGGTATCCTATAGAAAATGTATAAAGTAGGGCAGAAGAGTCATGCCATAAAAATGCCTCTGTCTCTCCATTGACTGAAAAGGCAGCAGGACTTTGCAAATTTTTACCTTGAGATCAGCCTTGTGGGTAATCAGGAGTCAGGTGAGATAAATCTGACCTGGGATTGCCCCATCAGGACACACCTTAAATTGAAAAGGCACTATTTGCATCAGAAGCAGAAAGAAATTACACGGACACTAAACTTCTGATTGCTGCTAGCCCCAGGGGCATCTACCTCTGTAGCTGCCAGGCACTGCACAAACATCACAAATACTCTGCCCTCGGGAGAGTGCAGCCTGGAAAGCCAACCCTCCGTCTGCAGGAGCTGCTACGTGGTGCTGGGTGGAGGGACCAGGGAAGCCATCCCGCTGGGACTTGACTGCTGTCATCTCTGCAGGTTGCCCGATATCTACACCCATTTCCGAAAAGCGGTGGAATCTGAGGCGAAGGTCCGGCCAACCCTGCAGGTGGCGGATCAGCTGAAGCCTCTGGCTCCAGGGGTGGAAGAGGGGTCTATCCCTACAATGGAGGATTTGGGACAGGAGGGTAAGAAAACTTAATTTGGCAGTTGCTCCCATGAAACCCTACTTAGAAATGTCTCTTACTGAGAATCGAAACGTGGAGGCCTCCTAAAGGAGATTGCCCTTCAAACTGTAACTGAGCATACACTGCTCTTCACTTGTACAGCAAGTGAAGGTAAATTCCCCCCACTGAGGAGCTGCTCTGGATAGAAAACATCCTCTTATAAATTAATAACGTTTGATGTGGCCCTTATTATAAAGGATGACCAAGGCACTATCTTTTGTGCCCTGAAAGCAAACATCCTGACTGCTGAACATCCCCAGATTTTAAGCTCCCTGCCTTTTAGATGCTTTGCAGAGGATAACAAGATGGTGATGTTTTCTGTAGCAGATCCTGTGACTGATCCACGAACAGCCTTCCCCTGCAGTGGAGGAGAGACCCAGGCTTTAATGAGACTGCAATATTATTTTTGGGACACGGTAACTTACATTTCCTTGTCTACATCCTCCCCCTTGTACATACGGCTGTGCAAGTGGGTGAGGCTGCAATTTCACTTCCTAGTAATATTTCCTTAGCTCCTGTGTAACACTTCACAAAGGAGGGAATTAGCGTTATTTCAGTTTTTCAGAGAGACAAGCTAAATCACAAAGAAGTCATCCAGGAACTAGGAATGTGAGCCAAATACTTAGGAACCTAGTTTAGTGACCAGCCCTCTTAAGTCTTTTTTTCCCATTAGCTTTTGGGAATTTTGAAAATTTTTTTTAGCTCCTTTACCTTGATTTTCCCTTTCTACTCTCCTGCCCCACATTATCAGCAGTGTAGTTCCTCCATCTTGGAGGAGTGAAAAGTGGCCTGAAGGGCTATAGTTGGGGTGAGGAACAACTGACTAAAGCTGCCACCCAAAGTTAAAAATAACATGAGGTTCCTACTAGTCTGGTTAAAAAACTTACAGGCAGTAGTTACAGCAATTTCTCGCTCCCTTGCTTTGGTGGAGTGGCACTGCTGGCTGCAGTTTGCGCATCCTGACTGTTTTTGAACATTTTCCTGGTCTTTTCAGGAACTGCTTTAAGTTTGCCTTGTATGAGTTTAGATGAAGACACGTGTGCTGATTTGCAGCAGCATCAGACCCTACACAGCTTTGTGGGTAAAGAGAGGAGCATCTCTCCGGCTGAGATGGGTGAAGAAGTGTGCTGTGCCCAGGGCCCTCACTGGAACAGCCCCCAGGGGATTCTTTCAGCTGTGCTGCAGAGGTTCCTACATTCCCTGGCTGTTGGGGAGCTTTTTTGTGTTTTATTCCCATTAGGCAGCTCAGCCTCACTCACTCCCCACCAGTAGGATGGGAATCAGAAGGGTAAAAGTGAGAAGCATGTTCAGGTAAAGTCATTTTAACTGTCAAGCAAAAGCTTTACAACCAAAGCAAAACAAGGAATCCACTCAGCGCTTCCCATGGGTAGGCAGGTGCTCAGCCATCTCCAGGAGAGCAGGGCTTCGCCACGATTAACAGTGACTTGGGAAGACAAACCCCATCAACCCCCTCTCCTTCTCCCCCAGTTTTTAATTGCAGAGCAGCACATCACGTGCTGCTGTGGGAAATCCCTGGGGTCAGATGGGGTTGGCTGTCCCGGCTGTGTCCCTTCCCACCTCCTTGTGCGCCCCCAGCCTCCTCGATGGTGGGGTGAGGAGCAGAAAAATCCTTGACTTTTGTGTGCACGCTGCTCAAAAATAACAAGAACATCCCTGTGCTATCAGCGCTGTTTCACAGAATCACAGAATCACAGAATGTTCGGGGTTGGAAGGGACCTCTGAAGATCATCTAGTCCAACCTTCATCCCAGCATACCTAACCACTACACCACAGCCTCAAGTGCTAGATCTACTTTTTTTTTAAACACCTCCAGGGTTGGTGACTCCACCACCTCCCTGGGCAGCCTGTTCCAGTGCCTCACCACTCGTTCAGTAAAGAACTTCCCCCGAATATCCAATCTAAACTTACCCTGACGCAACTTGAGGCCATTTCCCCTTGTCCTGTCATTAGTAATTAGAGAGAAGAGACCAGCACCAGCCTCACTACAGCCTCCTTTTAGGTAGTTGTAGAGGGCAATAAGGTCTCCTCTCAGCCTCCTCTTCTCCAGACTAAACAAACCCAGCTCCCTCAGCCGCTCTTCATAGGACATGTTTTCCAGACCTCTCACAAGCCTTGTTGCCCTTCTCTGCACCCGCTCCAGCACAAATCCAAAACTCAGCCCCACACCAGCTACTATGACGAAAATTAACTCTATCCCAGCAAAAAACAGTACAAGCACGTGTAGCTCCTACTTTTGGTCAAGCATTAATGCAACCAGTGCTGGAAAACCTGTTCCTTTTTGTTATTGCATTGTTTTTTGTTTGGGTTTTTTTGTTATGCAAATTTTATCCCCCCACTGAGCTAGAACAGCCCTTTAGCAATTGTGGAGAAGGGGATCAAGGCTTCCCTCTGTCCTCTGCATTGTCAGTGGAGGACTCACAAAGTGGAAGGTCTGCACCCGGGTGTAAGTGTGGGTGGCCCAGAAATAACAGCGAGTGGGATTTCTGCAGCTGGGTGCTGTCAGACACTGTGGTTCTCAAACCCGTACAAGCAGCCACGTGGATGAGAAGCAGCCACAGATCCCACTGGTGCTTCTAAGTGGATTATTGATCCAGAGGCAGGTGGGCGTGGGCAGGGAGGGGCCCAGCAGGGTTCATAGAGCTTGTGGAAAGAAATGTGCCGCAGGCTGAAGCAGGGAGCGTAGTTTGTGACACACATCCCAGAGCTTTAATGAAAACTGCTGGCCTGATTAATTCCTGTGCGCTAGAGGCCCTAATTTGGCAGCTCTGTAATCCTTGCCGGCAGCCGTGAGAGGGAGCCCAGCCCTGCCAGATTGCCCGCGCCCCAGTATGAAAGAAAACGCACTTAGCAGGTTGCCCGTAAAGTATTAAACCATTTTGTTCTTTTGCTTGCACAGAACCTGGTTGCATCTTACAAAGAGACTCGGAATGGACTGCTGGGAATGGATTACTCAACGAAATTTGCACCATGGTAAAGTCTCTTGGAAGCTCCTTTTCTACTCCCATCCCAGACTGACCATAGAATGCATTGGGTTGGAAGGGACCTCTAAAGGTCATATAGACCAACCCCCTTGCAGTGAGCAGGGACATCTTTAACTAGATCAGGTTGCTCAGAGCCACGTCAAGTCTGACCTTGAATGTCTCCAGGGATGAGGCCTCCACCACCCTCTCTGTTCCAGTGTTTCACCACCCTCATTGTAAAAAACTTCCTCCTTATATCCAGTCTAAATCTACCCACTTTTAGTTTAAAACCGTTACCCCTTGTCCTGTTGCAATAGGCCTTGCTAAAAAGATTGACCCCATCTTTCTTACAAGCCCCCTTTAAGTACTGGGAGGCTGCAGGAAGGTTTCCCCAGAGCCTTCTCCAGGCTGAACAGCCCCAAATCTCTCACCCCACTTGTCTTTGCCTTTATGTTGTTTTGTATATCTGGGGTGGGTAAGAGTAGCCAGAGAGGAGGAATAGCTTCAGACAGGGCTGTAGCAGAACTCGGTCCAGTCCTGCTTTGCTGAGTCCTGCAGGGCAGGTTGCCTCAGCTCGCTTCACTGCCATTCCGTTCTTCTGTGGGATGAGGAGACACTTCTCATTGTTCCTATTGCGAAAGGATCTCTCATTTGGGTAAACGTGACGACTTCTTGTTAAGGGTTTTAGTCTCTGGTACCGGAAGGGGCAGAGTTAATTCTGGATTGAAACTACAGCATCAGAACCCAGTTCAGCTGAGAGCATCTGGAGCGTTTTCCCAACAGAATTGCAATACGAAACAAGTTTCTGGAGCTGTTAACAGGTCCAGGGTTTCCGTTTTCCACTGGCTTTGTGCTTTAATGGTTGCAGCGGATGGCTCCACCTGGTGGCACTTTGGGGTCCCAGCGCCACTGGCACTGCAGTTCTTCATTTGTGGCCTCTACGCAGATATTGCTGATCTGCCTGCCCAAGGTGTTCCTCTGTCAGATAATCAAAATCAGACCGGTTCAGATGGCAGCTGGTTCTTCAGGTCTTGTACCGGCTATTTCTCAGTGTTAGAACTGGTCGACAAGTAAGGAAAAACTCTTCAAGGCCCTTTCTTCCTGTTTTCCAATATTCATCAGGACATCAAATGTATCCACAAATCGTACTGGGAAATTGCAGTAAAACACATTTCTAGGAAAGATGAAGTAAAAGTTGTTCCTTATCACGCTTTGCGATGGAGTTGGAGTCTACAGGCTCTTCTTTCCTGTTTTGAACAGCACTGGTTTGGAACAAATGGAAGGAGCCCAGAGGGTTGGGATGCCAGGGCTGGGTTTGATTCTCCACTTTTTCCTACCTTGCCTGAGATTTTCAGCAATTCCCTTGCCTTCTGTGGTTGCTCAAATGAGACACTGAGGTGCTGCAGGAGAAGGAGCCCTGGGTTTGTAGTAAAAGATGGGCAGTTGAACAGCTAAGGCAGGTGATGTAGGGGTTCACACTTAGATCCATTTCTGAGTTTGTCACTGGGGCACTATCAAAGTCTTTTAGGCAAAATACGTGAAACTTGTGTAAAATGCTTTATCTCAGCAGGTTCGAGACTCCCATGCACTGGGAATGGAGGGGAGTTTGATTCTCAGATTGCAGAGCTGCGAAAAAGCCTTGACTTTGAGAAGCCATTTGGGAAGTTGGCGGCAGAACTGCAAACTGAGCAAAGTTTTCGGACAGCAAGTCGAGACACAAAGCTGCCCCTCCACTCCCTCTGCGCAGGCATCAAGCTGTCAGTCCTGTGTTGCATTCAGGGCATCACTCTTCTGCTTTCAGGCTGGCGCTGGGCTGCATTTCGCCTCGATACATCTACGAGCAGATCCGGAAGTATGAAAAGGAGAGAACGGCAAATCAGAGCACGTACTGGTACGTCCCTGCGCCATCGGTGTGGCTTGTTTTCTCTGAAAAGGAAACTGTCATCTCATGTGCAGGAGAGAGTGATTTGTTAACTTCCTTATTAATTAATGTTTGTTTTTCCTGTGCCTGCTGTCTGGTTCCTCTGGGTTGCGTTGCGGTTCTGTTTCAGTATGAATTTATTAGTCTGCCTTTGACATCTAGAGGCTTTAGGCAGTTTGTAAGTAAAGATTATTAATGCCAGTGTCATTATTATCGCTGGGAAGTTGCAGTTCGTGATTTTTCAAAACTGATCTCTGCAAATTGGCACCATCCTTCTCTGTATGGTTATTATGGGCTAGAGGAGAAGGAAGAAGGATGGTTTACAAGCAAAAGCCTGACGGTTTCTCACATCAAGGGTAGAGCAGGGCTTTGCCCAAAAGGCTCAGGGACTGTGCGACTTGTACGAATCGCGTGGTGTCGAAAGGACCTCTGGCCAAAGCCCAGCAGATGGCCCTGTACCTGAGCACCTGCCTGGCCCTAACCAGATCCCAACCAGAAGGTTTGTGAAAACTGCGTTTTCATATTGATTTGTTGCATCAGCAACATGTCAAACAACACAGTAACTGATGAAGAACAACCAACAGTTCTTGCCCAAATACTCAATTTCACTAAAATTCAAATGACAGGTAAAATATCAGCCTTTTGCTTGTTGAAGTATATGCTTTTTTTTTTTACTTCAAAGACAAATAAGAGAGGAAAGATTGCAAGAGATGAACAAAACTAATGTTTTTCTGCTTAATAGCCAGCCACCCTGCCTGCGGTCAGGGTGCTGTAGTGATCTAAGCATTTTAAAGTGACAAATAATTATAAAAAAGAAGCTGTGAAGCTCCCAGGCACTGCACTCAATTGCACAGTGAAGTACAATTGGTTGAACCTGAGTATCGTGACACTAGTTTTTTGCATTTTGACAGTGCCCTGTTTTCTAATGACATTTTCCAGAAAGATCTTGTAAGCCCAAACATCAGCTAAGCAGAATATTTCCAATATGCCGGAGAGCTGAAGCAGGTCTCGGAGACTGAGCTGCCATCATTTTAGAAGAAGCTCTTTTTATACAAAAGTTTTTGCATAAAACCTCGCCTGTTTTCTGTGGGCTTAGCACCTAATCTCTTGAGTTAGACCACTATAAATCCAGTTTTGAAAAGTGCTAAGTCCTTTGGAAAGCTGATTGCTTAAATCAATGCAAAGTTCTTGGGAATGTGCTGACACTCTTGCTCGTGCGGAAGCTTGAAGCTGAATCAGGTCCTCACCCTGCTCTTTGGAGAATTATGTCCCAGCGGGGACGGATGAGAAACAGGTTTCTTGAAATGCTGCTCCCGCACTCGAGTTAAGGAAAGCTTCCCAAGTGATTCATGCAAAGTTTGCTCTTGCTTTAGTCATGCAGGTGCAAGCCACATAAATAGGCTTGGGGCAACAACTGCTACCACAGGAAAGTACATGAAATTGCTTGTCGTGAATAAACCTCACGGCATTCATGATGGGTGCTATGGAAGCAAAATCCTGACTCGGTAATTGTATCAGACTCAACGGTGAAATACATGGATTTGTGTTTTAGGGTCCTGTTTGAACTGCTGTGGCGGGATTACTTCCGATTTGTGGCCCTGAAGTATGGCAGAAGGATTTTCTCAGTAAGAGGTGTGTATGGAGCACCTCTCCAAATATTTGGAGAGGAAAGGTACAGTCTTAAGACGGGGAAAGCAAGAGGAGCGGCTGTTGGCATTGTGTTCTACAAATGTTCTTGTGGCGCTTTTGTCACCACCCTGGGATGTTGCTGAGGACTTACTATCAGCACAGAAGTGCCTCCATACCCTGGTGCTGGATGCTGTGCAGACACTGAGACTTTTGCTCCCATATCTGATTACATACAGGGAGTATTATTCACGGCAGGAAACAGCAGCACAGTAAGAGTAAAGATGCTGTTTCTGGAGACCCTCCCACTTCCGGAGAGAATCCAGGCTTTGGGCTTGCCCAGGTTCACCAGAGAATCTGGGACAGAGCAGGAACCGACCAGCGATGTGAGTCCCAGTCTGGTGCCTACATGTGAAATGAGGGTCTGAACTCTGGGCACAACAACGAATAACTAGTCCATATAGTCAGGAAACCCTGACTGCGGCACGCAGGAGCAAAGCATTTCTGGGGGCTTCTGCCAGGTAATCCTGAGTTTAATATCTGCTACAGAAACAGATTTCACATAAACATTGTCCTGGAGTAAAATTGAATAAGAAAATACTAGCTTAGGCCAGAGCACATCTTTGGCCGTTTGGGAGGTCTGAGTTGTTTTTAATTAAAAAAACCCAACAAACCAACAACCAAACAAAAAAGCCCTAACAAAACAATCAAAATCCATTACACTTTTTATGCTTGGACGTCCTTTGTGTGTATGAGACACCCCTTTGCAGGACTTGAAAGGAGGAACAGAGCATCTCTAAACCTTTGCAGGAGGAACATGGCTTGTTTGTAACACTGCTGAGAGGGCTGGCTCCCTCCTAGCTTGTGTCACCTAAGGTGTTTCTAGCTGTCATTGTTTAATTAATAGCTACCTGTGTCAGCGTTTTGTCTTCATTAGCAGTTAATTTTTCTCCTAACAGGGCTTCAAAGTAAAGATGTTCCATGGAAAAAGGACCTTCAGCTCTTTGACCGTTGGAAAGGTCAGTAGAAACTGCAGGTTTGGTCTAAGTGTGCTTTTGACTTCCACATGTCTGCGCGCTGACATGCCCCTTGACGCTAACTCAGATGTGCTCAGGGAAACTGTCAGTGTGGTCAGGGCCTAAACAGTCACTGAAACTGTTACCACTAAACAAGAATCCAGCCCCTGGGTTTGGTGTGAGCGCAGGGTATGTGGCTTCTGAGCCCGAGCAGCACACAGGAGCCGGCCCAGGCTTTGTCTGGCTCATCCACGCTTTATAAGATGCGCTGCAGTTAGGTTTTCCCAGCTTGTTGGAAATGTCCACAACCTGTTGGTCCCTTCTGTTTAGTCACACAGAGAGTAAACAGCCCTTCTTATCAATGCTACATTGCCATGCCTGCTGCATTTTGTTCTTCTGATTGGTTTTGGTTAAGGAGGTTAAAACAGCCTTAGAATAAATCACATCTTGCTTTTCTTTAGCTTTTATAACTTTGTTTTCACATGAATAGCAAGTGTAATATCTCATAACTTGGAGGAACTAACGGATCAGAGCAGCCCTGAACTGCACACCTGTATATATTCCCATTTATGCCACCTGTGTCCATTTGCACACAGGTTCAATAAATCTTTTCCCTAACAACAGGCAGGGCTCTCTACTTTTCAGGTGCTTACCCTGGGGGACTTGTCCAGTACATTCCTCTCTGCTATTAGTCACCTGTCAAGAATTTCCCTGTTCTTGGCCTGACTCACTATTATCTATATGTTTATTTTGCTTTGCAAAATTCCCTGAAATCCACTTGATTTATTGTTCTTTCAGCCTGAGATTTTTCTGTACCTTGGGAGTTTTTTTTGCCTTGGCAAAAATTCTCCTCGTTTTAATTTTCAGTATAATCTCCCATTCAGTTTGCAGTGGATCTTAGAGGCTGCATGCCAGCTAACCCTCCCCTCGCTGCTGTACGCTGGCACGGTCTTACCTGCTTGGATGGCTCTGAATGCATGACCACAGCCTGGTTTATGAGCACCCAAAACTGTCATTGTGTCCCAATGCCATCTTTTGTGCCTGCAGAAGGCAAAACAGGGGTTCCCTTTGTCGATGCCAACATGCGAGAGCTGGCTGCAACGGGCTTCATGTCTAACCGAGGGCGGCAGAATGTCGCCAGCTTTCTCAGCAAGGACCTGGGTCTGGACTGGAGGATGGGGGCAGAATGGTTCGAATATCTGCTGGTAAGACTGAACTCGTTGTGTATCTGGGGTTATTTGTGCTCCCTGCCCCGAGTGACAGATAAGGAAGGATACAGAAGGTGATCAGTACTGTTCAGGTGGATGTAAGTGCAGGTTTGTGCTGCTTCCATGGTATGTTCTTCCCAAAGCTCATGTAAGAAAAGGGAATTTTGCCACAGTGAAGCTGCCGTCAACCAAGATGTAGCTCAGAAGTTTCATAGAATCGTAGAATGGCCTAGGTTGGAAGGGACCTTAGAGATCATCTAGTCCAACGTCGCTGTCATGGGCAGGGACGCCTCTCAACTAGACCTGGTTGCTCAAGGCCTTGTTCACCCTGGCCTTGAACACCTCCAGGGAGAGGGCATCCACGTCTCTGGACAATTTATTGCAGAGTCTTGCCACCCTCATACTGAAGAATTTCTTCCTAATATCCAATCTAAATCTGTTTCACTTAAATCCATTTCCCCTTTTCCTATCGCTGGACACTCTTGCAAAAAGTCCCTCCCCAGCCTTCCTGTAGGTTCCCTTCAGGTGTTGGAAGGCAGCTCTTAGGTCCCCCCGAAGTCTTCTCTTTTCAAGACTGAACAATCCTGGTTGCCTTAGCCTATCCTCACAGCAGTTTGCAATGATAGTTTTGATCCTCCATGTAGGGTTTTAGACAGAGATCTATCACGCTCAAGAAAACTTTCAACCATAAATTATGTTAACAATGCCTCGATTTGCTAGCCCCAGAGGCTAGGGAGGAGGACGGCCCAGAAATAGAACAAAAAAACGTTTTCTGGCCACTGAAGCCAGCACTGGCACAGTGTCTTTGCATTGATCACTGCGGACAAGGAAGTCATCTAGTCAAGAACTGAGTATAGACAATAGTTGGATCAGTTTCCAGATTGCTCCGCCCTGGCTGGAGGCATCCTTCTTTGTTCTGGTGAGTCACAGGCCTCTCTGCCAACTGGAGCACCAAATCATTTCTCCAATGCACATCGGCAGCCATCTGTGCTCGGTTGCTTCTCCGTCCTCAGTCCCCACTAGCTTCTTCCCAGGAAGGTCTGAACAGGTTGACAGTCCCTGGTTCATCTCTGGGCATTTTTGCTTTGTTGCTGTTAACCTCAGGTGCTGCTGGTGGAGAGAGCGTCAGTAGCGCCATGGTGAGTGGTGAAAACAGCCTGAAGAGGTGAATTTGTTCTTTGCCAGACTGAATGGTACCGATTGAAGAAGATCAAATACTGTATCAGCCTCTGTGGGATGCAAGAGGCCACTGGTAATTGGGAAACTTTGTACTCACTAGGATAGCTTGAGGTACAGAGAAAACCCAGTTGCCTCGCCGCTATCCACAATTCAGAGAGCCTTTTCTATGAAAATAATTTCTTTTGAGCTTCCTTGGAGCTGGGCTCAGTCATGGCTTTGGCTGCAGAGACCTCCAGGAAGATCTGGGTGCTTTCCCGTTGCGGTGTCTCCCACTAGTGCTGTGAGTGTTGGTGGGCTTGCACAGTAACGCAGCGCGGGACTTCTGCAGAATCCTCCAGAAAGTGGTGTCGGTAGCTCCATGCAGCGATGCTTTTCCAGATAAGAGTGAGAGCTCCCAGCATGTGGCACTAGAAAACTTGTAGCTGAAAAGCAGTGGCCTTATCCTTCATATCCTGGCTGGAATTTGGGATGGAAAAACCCTGAGTGCATTAAGATTCAGAGCTGGGAGTCGAGAATTGAGGCTTTGCTCTGATGGGTGCGCAGCCTTGCCTTCCTAGGGGTGGGAGCTTGGTTCGCTTTGCAGCCAGATCCAGAGGGCCACAGAAGACTGCAGGTCATATACCCCAAGTGAGAAAGACCTGGAAGGTCTCACACTAGAAGGACACTCCCTGGGTTATTTCCCTTTATTCATATACACATGAATGTTCCCAGCCTCTGCTCTAGCCCTTTCACCTCGGGAAGCCCCAGATGCTGACCGCTGCCTTGGGTTGGTGTGGCACGGGCTGATCCTTGCGTCCTGTCGCTTCCTTTTGGTGTGTGTCACACTGATACCTCACCAGCCAGCTCTTAACCTGGTGGCGTCCCCACAGTAACGCACAGGAGACATCAGTTTGATGGGGCAGACATGGCTGTAGAATGGTAGAAGCCAGTACAGAACTGGAACTTGCATCTAAAAAGGGAAAACGATGCGTATTTCATCTCTGATGCTTCCAGCAAAGGTCCACTGAGTGTTAGCACGTGCCTGTGAAGAAGAGGGTGTTTGTCATTCAGAGCAGACCGGCTGGGGGGCTGAAACAAGCTTTCCTGAAGCCAGGGGAAAGGCCAGAGACCTCTGATGTCCTGCACAGAGAATATCTCAGCTCTGATTTCATTCACAGGGTTAGGCCCCAAGGAAAGGGAGAGAAACAAACAGAAGAGAATGCCAGGAAGGGGCAAGGCTGAAGGGGGAAATGAGGCTGCCTCCTCCAGTCCCCCTTGGATTTGCCCTCACCTCCCACACATGCTTTCCTGCGTGTTAATCACACAATCAGGCCCCCCGATGGCATTTTTCTTCCTCTCTTTATCTTGGCGGCTGGAGGAAGTGCTGCCAGGCAGGGGAAGCCTGGTGCACAGTGAGCATCGCTGGCTCCTGATCACCCTGAGCCCAGCTCTCAGCTGGTTTTGCAGAGAAAGGGGAAGGGCACACAGCAGAGCCCGTTCCCCTGGGCCTTCTGCCAGCCACGTGCGCTGAGCTCCTTGCTTTAAGAGCTGAGATTTTGGAAGTGTCACCATGTGGACTGGTTGTCGCTGTGGCTACAGTAAGGGGAGGAGAACGGTGCTGAACCTGCTCAGGGACCCATGTGCCAGCACTAGGTTTTCACAGTGCTGGCACTCCTCTTAGGAATGCTCAGAGATCCCCCGCCCTGTTCGTTATCATGGCCATGCCCCTCCTGAGCAAGTTTGAACTGTTTGAACTGAACGCACCTAGAAGGCTTCTGATGTTGGATTTAAGCCACCCTGCCCATCTGAAGAGCGCTCGGACTGGACCATGTTCTTCTCTTGTTTGTGCCTGTTTCAGGAGCTTTGCTCCATTTTCCATAAGCCTCCCTGAGAGCTTTTTGTTTGTTTAGATGTGGAATAACTTGGCGACGTGCAGCCTACTGAGTACGTCACGAGAGCGCTAGTGTTTCCCGTAGTAAAGCACCTCTCTGCCAAGTCCCTTTGAGTTCAGGCTTATCATCATGTGATGAAGGTCAAGTATAGCAGGAAAAACCCGGCAGCGTTTGTATCAATTGCATCTTCATACACTGTGTGTGGTTACTCGGTATGGTCTGAGTTAGACCTTTCTCCAGTCTGCCTAATAGGATCTACAGAGATGATTTTGTTGGCTGTGTGGCCTCTGGGTAACTGGTCAAGAAGAATTTTCCCTCATATCTGAAATGTGCTGGGCTACTGTGTTTATTGGAATATGAGCACTCAGAAGCTAGGGCTCGTTGTCGTGAAGTCTGCCAGATGATGGCAGAAAGAGAAGGATTTTTTAAATAAAAGGAAGCTGAGAAAGAGAGGGACTTTGGCTGGACTTTGGTCTATCTCACCGACTACCCCAGTGTGGCCAGACTGATTCCCATGCACGGAGTTCTCCCCTCAAGATAAGGGGTGGATGGGCAGAGAAGATTTGCTAAAGATCAGTCCCGCTCTTCTTACTGTTTCCTTCCTCTGTTCTCCAGGTGGATTATGATGTTTGTAGCAACTACGGCAACTGGTTGTACAGCGCTGGTGTTGGTAACGACCCACGGGACAACAGGAAGTTTAACGTGATTAAACAAGGCCTGGATTACGATGGCAATGTAAGTCTTGTTTGGCTGTCTTGGCAAAGCACATGTGATAGTTTCAGGGAATCAATCTGCTGCGTGGATACTGCTGTGAAACCACTTCTGTGATCTCCTTGCCAACAGTCAGGCAGGTTCCTCATTGTCACACAGGAAGATCTGATGTTTATGATCTGCTGCCGTCCCCGAAGAGGCTGATGCTCCATAGGCCCTCCCTGCCCTGCCATTGGTGTGTGTGTGTGTGGTGTTTCATCACCATTTCTTCCGGGTAACAGCCACATCCCATCCAGATCTTACACAGTCACTTCCCTGAGCACAGAGCAGCTTCTTGGAGAACTGAGAAGTGGCAAGAGAAATGGAGCTGCTCCTTGGGCAGTCCTGGAGAGTAGATTAAACCTGTGACTCCTTGGGCTGTCCTCTGTAAGTGGTGGCTGGAGATAAATTGCCCTTCCCGTGCGCTCAGCCAGTGTTCACATACTGGATTACCTCTTTCCACCTCGTTCCTTAGCTTCATGGCAAGCTGCACTGTAGCTGGCAGGACTTAGCAAGGAATCAGAAATGCGTTGTAGAAGAGGACAGAGCAGCAGAGTTCATGGGAGAGGTTCGGGGGCAAGGGCAGTTCTTGCCAAGCACACGAGCGTGCCCCTGAGCTAGTCACCCTAGCTACCTTCAATCACTGGAAGGAAATAAAAAAAGGACTTACTATGAGTGATTTCTTCTCAACATGTCCTAAACAAGGCAGGTGAACTGTATCAAAAAAAGCTCCTGGGTCTCCCTGCTCTGCCTGCAGAATGAGCCTGGGAGACGAGCTCCAGCATCCAGGTCTCGGGTGTTTTTAGGCACTAATTCTGGGGAGAGAGCTGAGCAGGAGGGGCTAAGACTTGACAGATTTAACTGATGCTGTAGCACACCGGCTTCTTTACCTGGACATCGGGGTTCTTGCTTTCACATTAAGAAAGACCCTTGCTGGGAAGCACTTACAGGTTGTTACTGAGTGGATCCTGTCTTGTTGGTTCTGTTTGCAGGGGGATTACGTTCGGCTGTGGGTCCCAGAACTACAGGGCATAAAGGGAGCAGACGTCCACGGCCCTTGGGCCCTGAGCAGGGCTGCTCTCTCCCAGGCAGGAGTGACTCTGGGTGAGACCTACCCATGGCCAGTTGTGACAGCCCCGGAGTGGAGCCGACACATCAACCAGAGGCCTGTGAGTACTGGGAAGGTTTGGATGGGGCGGCTCCCGGCAGCTGCTCCGTGTCTGCCAGGAGCGTCCGTGAATTCTGCTCATCTTTCTAAGGTGTGAAGGGAAAAAAAGAAAGTTTCGGTGCAAAGTCACATTACGTCACAGCAGAGGGTCGGTCCAGCTCTGCACAGGGACCATGCAGCCAGGGTTATTTAGCTGCTTCTGTCCTGCTAAACTAGAAGTCTGAGACACAAGCCTGAGTACCGGCCTCCTGTCATCCAGGAAGTTACACTATTAGTGTATTTCCCAGCGCTATTTTGCCAAATTTGGCAAAACAAGCACCATCCAGAACTTTGTCCAAGCCCAGTTTGAGTTTACCATGTGCCATGGGCTGTCACAAAAGACCATCTTGGCACTGCCACCCTACATCATATGCACGTAAGCTGAACCAGGCTGGCTTTAGGGCTGAAGAATGAACCCACGCGTGTTTTATTTGCTGTTTTCTAGGTCGCTCTTACTCTGTTTTTCCTTCTGGATACTCATAGTGCCAGATGTGAGCTGAGGGCTGGGCTATCTCTGAAAAGCCTCACTGGCCTAACCACCCCCTGGTGCAGAAGGGAGCCAGGGTTGATGCTGAGTTTCCACTCTGTTCATGAGGTGGAAATAAAAACAACCAACTTCGAGCCATGCTTGAGTGCATCCCAGCTGGAGTTGGCAAGACCAATAAATACAGGGAGTGGCCCTCGCGCTTTGTTTTTTGGGTGTATCTGCCCTTTAGAATGGGGACAGATTAAGATGTGGATCCGGCAACGAGTCAAGACTTGTAGCTGCTGACTGGGCTGCTGTTCTTGGAGGAGATGGGTATGGAAGGAGAGCGTTCTGCAGGCCTGGGTGGGGTCGGTGGTGCTGGAGCTGGAAGGGAAGGAAGAAATGCTCACTTGCATATTTCAGGGGGTTTTCAACCATTTTGTTTTCCCCCTTGTGTTCTCTCTGCCTCCTGCCAAGTAAGGATACATTCTCTGGTGTTCAATAAAGGACAAAACATGTCTCCATTTGGGGTTTTAATCTCGAGGTGTGGTACCAAATTTCTCAGGCTACATTCTTTTGCAAGGAGTAGGAAGTTTTGCTGAAACCAAACCATTTGCTTCTGGCCGTGCTGTTGAATTATTACCTGGATTATTACCCTTCTGCTTTAAAAGTGCATCTGAGATGAGAGAAAGGACCCTGTGAAGGAACAAAGCCCTCAGTGAGACATTGGTTTGAGGCAGTGATGAAACTTGAACTCAGAAAGCTCCTTGATCAGGCAGGAGTCCTGTTCTGATGAACTTCCCAGCTCACCTGGGGCACTTTGGGCCTGCGCTGCCACACAGGGCTTGTGAAATTAAAATACTGCTAGGACGGACTGTCGGCCCAATGTTACTGAGGCCTGGAGAACCTCCCCTCCTAACCTTCCCTAAACTGAAAATACCTTTGAAAATACAAGCCCACACCTTACCAGAAAGCCACTTCTCCTAAGTCTTAAGCCCAGAGCTGTGCTTGTCGGGCCTCCTCGCCTGTTGAGTGAACTCGGGGCTGGAAGCGCCACGTGTGCATTTTTCTGAACGCCGGGGCTGATTTGCAGTGGGGTCCACGCTGCAGCGTGCGTAAACATCTCACTGTTCATATTCCAACAGGGAAGGAGTCCCCATCCTGGGGTCAGGAGAGGACCTGCACACAAGGACAGAGGAATAGATTTTTACTTTTCTCGAAAGAAAGATGTGTGATGAAGGCGTGTGCCGGAGAAGCGCTCAGTGGGAGGTTTTGCTGCCGAAGATGCCGGGATGAGTTAATGTCCTCGATCTAAGCTGACGGTGGAAGTCTGGCCACTGCAAAGTGGAGTGATCTGCCCGTTCGGTGTTCCCAGGGTCAGGAGCCGGACGTGGACATTTGGAGGTTGTGTATTGGCACGGAGTTCGGCAACGGGATTTTGTGGTTTCACTTCGGCGCTCTGAGCTTTAGGCAGTTGGCCGGTCGCTCTCCAGGCGGTGTCTGCCCTTGAGTGCTGAGGGTCTGCTTCCGTGGACAGTGCGTTACTCTCAACTCTATCAAGTTCTTCAGCTGACAGGGGCTGTCTGCCTCTCTGTTTGGAGGAGGGGTGGCTGCTTTTCCAGTGCCTCTTGCTTTGCACTGGTACTTACAGCTGTGGCAGTTTCATTTCTGCCTCTTTACAAACTGGAGCAGGTCGTTTGCATGGCAGATATTCAGTCAGAACTCTTTCTAGTGAACTTTCTAATGCTGTTTTTTAACATTTTAAAGCTTTAAAATCGGTGAATTGTGCCATTAAAAGTTTTGCTACTGAAATATTTTATCCTTTTAATTTCCGCAGCTGAGGTTTGTGCTCCTTTATCCCAAAAGCAGCCCCTCTCAGTAGGCAGGACATGCATGGCTCTGGATTTATTACCTCTAGGGATCCATTTGGGCCTCTCTTAAATTTCTTTGAACGTTTACTTTAGTAGGTTCGGCACAAGGCTGAGGAAAGAACTGAAGGAGACAAAACAAGTGATTTTGAACACGTACGTGCCCTGCCAAGGCCACGTTGGTCACACACACAGAATCACAGAATGTCGGGTTGGAAG